CCCCCCCCCCCCGGAGGCAAAGAAGAGACCCTCGTTGAAGCTCGAGTCAAGGCCTCTGGGGCCTTCCCGGCATGGTGATAAAGGGATTTCTCTCTCTGGGGCCACCATAGTATTTTAAGTCGTTTCCATTTATCTAGCAATTACCAACCACATCCATCCCAGTACAAGAATTCTGGGTCAGGCTTGTAGTGAATGTCCATGCCACCCCTCTGTAAAGGATGCTCACAAAAGAGAGAGTGTGGCATCAAAGCCAGCAGACAGCCGGGGGTCCCAATGCCCGGTTCCAACTTCTGACTTTGATATTCATAAGTGTGAGGACTGTGGGCAGTTTGATCTGCAGAAGTGATGACTCAGAGCTCCTGGGTTCAAATCCTGCCTCCATGGCCTTTAGCAAATCATTTCATCTCCTTCTCTTTCAAGTGAGGAGGTCGGGCTGGATGACCCCCGAGTTCCCTTCTACTCCGGTATTCTGAGAATTGATCCAAGAGCTAACAGCACCGAGGAAATGTCACTGCCCAGGGGCCTGGGAAATGTTTGGACCTTAAAGTCAAAAGGACTCGGGTCTGAGTTTTGGTTCAGACGCGTCCTCGCCATGGGACCCTGGAGAAGTCCCTCTCCCTGAGCCTGGCTCCTTGCCTGTGAAATGGAGATGATCACATAGGCATTACCTTCCTCGCAAGGCCACGAGAAGGAGAGCACAAAGTGCTAGAGAAAGGTGCATTGTTCTCGTATTATTCTATTACTGCCCTCCAAAGCCCCATCTGGGGAGCCAGGGGGTGAGTAGAGCCTGGACACAGAGCACCACAGGCAGGAGGGGGTTTTGTATCCAGAAAACCTGAATTCGGTCCTGAATTTATCACATATTTGCTACAGGAGATCGGGCAAGTCACATGCCCTCCCTAAGCCTCAGTTTCCCCATTTTTTAAATGACAGGGTTGGACTTTATGATTTTGAGATCTCTCCTGGCTTTAACATCATCTTTTCTCAGGCCCCTCCCAGCTCTGACCTTCCCTGTTCTGAGGCCCCTCCCAGCTCTGAC